TATTTAACGGCTCTCTTAATAATATTTGCATGCACGATAACTCAACTATATAAACGCACAAGCACCAAATGGCCTAACAATATACAATTGTTAAAGTGAACTGAAGTATCTCAATCAAATACAAGGTCTTTAAAAGATAGTTAAAAGATGTTACTTATCTGTTAAAACTTGTGACCCAAATAACATTATATGTAGGTTTAATTGTAAAATATAACCAGTATTCTGTACGTGGTGGCAATATTAGCCACCATTTTTATGGATTGGCAATATTAACCAATAACTTTTAAATTTTTGGGATTATTACTCATGTCCGACCAAATTCGATGGCTATTGTTGTCACTGTTTAAAAAGATAAGGACTATATTTTGCATTTTATCTGTCGAATTTGGTTGGATTTGGGTAACAATCTCAAAATTTTGAAAGTTGTTGGCTAATGTTAGCAAATCGTAAAGATGGTGGCTATTAATTTCACCGCGTACAAGATACTGGTTATATTTTACAATTTAGCCATATATGTATGCATACAAATAGAAGTATATGCATATTTTACTCCGGAAATATCCATGAGAACACCAACTATATTAAAAACATACAAAGTATAAAAAAGAAGCTTCAAAAGAAGTTCCAATGGAGAATAAAACCCCATTAGCTCTAGTACATACATTTTTATTTATGGTAAAATCAATTAACTGTAAGCAGGCGCACCGACAAAAGAAGATGCAAAGATTTTCTCCTAAAACTTATAGACACTCAATCGATTCCAATTTCACGTTATAAATTGCAAAAAAATAAACAAAAGGAACACGAATAGTGAAAAATGAACATTTTGAAGATAACAATTGTTACACCAAACAGATTTTGAAAATCTTAAATGTAAGAATTTTCAAGTTAAAGTTTGTCTTTAGGTCATCATTTTTCACTATATGATGTTCTGAATGACATTGTTTTTGTATATTAGTTTTCTTTAACAAGTGTCTGTACATATGAAGTTTGGTTCACATCACCTGGCTTGATGTTAAATTCCAAATGCTCGGACGTGTTGACTTGAATGGTTGAAGCATCTCTTTGGAAACTGGGTCGTTTTCTCATTGGAGTTTTTCCCTAGAAAATGGCTTTTGCAAATATCAGAACTCAAAAATACCAACCAGTTGGATTGAATAACTCTGAAGTAACATGTAAGGCCCCGTTTTATTTTAAAGAATTTACTAAATTTATTTATAAAAATCAGAGTTAATTTTGCAAAATCTCAAATTAAAACTTTGATTATCAACAGACGCTACTTAACTACCAATAACAATTAACAAATGCCAAAAAGCATACAGAACCTACACATTCATAAATATCGTAAAAAGTTAATGAATATCCTCTTCTTCTTTTAGATAAACTGAAACCCTCGTCTGCGCTTGAAGTCCGTCCAAAATCCAGCCTATTGGTCTTCCTTCTCGCCGGCATATGCACGGTCAGGGGTCGTCTAGACCGGCCTCCTCCTCCCTATGACGTTCGCACCTCCGATTTACTGTGGATGGCGGCGATTAGGGTTCCTGTTCCTAGTAGCGGATGGGGCTTTCACCGGCAGAAACGCCTCTTCCGGTCGACGATGGACCTATGTCTGGTTTTCTCTCTTCCATCGCAGTAATCGGCCCACCTGGAGAGGGTAATTTTCTGGTTCTCGCCCTTGTTTGCTCTGTTTGGATTAGGCCGTTCTCGGTGGGGCTCTGCCTTTCCAGTGGGGCTCCGATCTCTGGTCGTTAGCATGCTGTAGCGGGGTCGGATGGGGTGCACGTTGTCGGGTGGGGAGGGACCCCGATGGCTATGGCGGTTCAAGTTGCGGTGGTTGGGGTTGACGGCTAGATCTTCCCTCACACTCTCGGTTCGGCTAGTGGTGTTAGACAGTCAGGGTATGGTGTTATCCGTCTCATCTAGTGGTGTTAGATTGTCTCAGGTGGCACCAGTGTGGGGGTTGATTGTGGGTATCTTGGTCAATGACGGGTCGATTCGGGGAAGGATTTGGGGTTCAGTTAAAGCTATTGTATAGGCCTTCTGCAGTTTCGGTAGCGACTTCTGGACCTCGACTTCTTCTTGTCTCGATCGCTTCACTGCTGGTTGGGCTAGGTCGTGCGACGAGGAAGGGCTCTGTTTGTTTTTGTTTCTGTTTGTTTTGTCTCTTGTAGGTGTGCTGGAGTTGTTTTTGAGTTGTGCTAGTGGTGTCTCGCTCTTGTTTAAGTGTTTTTAGGTTTGGGTCGTTGGTCCCGGTTCGCTCGAGTGTGACCTTATTATCCTGTTGGGATCCCACACTCGAGCATTACCCTGTTGGGGTCGTTTTAGTATCGTGTTTTTTTTACCCTGTTGGGGTCATTTTAGTGTTGTATTTTGTGTTAGTTAGGGTATTACCCTGTTAGGGTCGGTTCTAAGCGGTCTTATGACCTGTCCTCCCAATTTTATTCAGCTGGTGGCTGGGTGTGTATTCAGCTGGTGGTTGTACTCTTGCACATTTATGCCTTTTATATATCATTTCTATCGTTCTGAACAAAAAAAATAATAAACTATCAATTATCAAGCCAAATTTACTAATAAGTCTCAAAACAAACCGAATAGTTCAACATTATCCAACGGTTCAACCAACATGTTCAAGATAACCAAAGCGGAAGCATAATAATCCAAAATCGAACAAGTGAATCAATAAGAACAATCATAGGCAGAAGCAAAACGACACTAAATAAGAAACATCGAATGACCACCACTCGATTGTCTTCTCGCTGCCGCCGCCAGCCATGCTCAACCTAAAGAAAAGAAGAGGAGACAAAGAGGAACAACAATGGGGGTGAAAAAAACCATCATGCTCACCATTACCGCACAGTATATCTCGCATGAAGATTCAAAACCATAAATAAAATATGCATAAAATCTAAGCTCTAAATCCCGACACGGCCCTATCGCAAACCTCTTATGTACAACAACCTTCTGATCAAACATCGGTAAGGAGTAACCGGAAACATTCCCACCCTGGATGCAACGGGCATAGGATCCTTTCCAAGAGACAGTAGAGCTGTTTTTCCCCCTCCGGATACAACGGCACGGGGCGTCCTCCTCCCAGATACAACGAGCAGGTGACCTCTCACTGCTTATGCATTCATTAAAGGCACTATCAACGGGACACTTAGACTAGGGTTCTCACGCATACAACAGCTATCGAAACGAATATTTATACGAAATAACGAGTGCGATAATTATAGATACCACAAACTGTACCCACCTGATTGCGGCGAAAAATCACAAGTACGAGGCTCGAATAAGTGGTGAGGTCAACACCTACACGAAATCAAGATGTCCTCTCGATTACAATCCAATCCAACGAACACACAAACTTAGTCGAACACGTCGACTAAGTGGCTCGTGAAAATTCTCTTGGAGTTATTGAACATTTGACTTGACTTGAAACCATGTATGGGAAAGGCATATAATATTCACATAAGGGTTGACCAAGTCAAACAAAAGTCAAAAAGGGATCAATTGGGGTCAACGGCTCGAGAAAAAGTCCAAAAATCGGTGTACTAAATCGGGCTATCTCCAATTTAACCTGGGGGTTTGACTCCAAATAACAAACACATATCCAACATCAATAGGGAGCAACATTCATAAAAGATTACATGAGAATTCATACTTAAACAATATGAGTTAGCTTTTGCAAAATAAGACAAGTAAATCACATATTCGAGTTGACCATGCAAAAAAACAAGTTTTGATTTAAAATTTAAACACATAATGGACATTACTGAGAATATCAAAATCACCAAGAATCAACCCTATCACTTAAACATGTGAATTTATAAAATTAAAATAAG